TTATGTAGTCTCAATAAAAGCTGCTCAAGTCATGTTTTAGACAAAACTCAGCAGTATGAGATAGTGCTATGAATTAGAAAGTACAGCAACAAAGCTGGCCAGGCTGAAGTGGCAGAAAGTGGATATAGGAGAATGCCAAGCCAGTACAGTCTAGAGAAATATCGTGGGGGCTCCCGCGATGATTTAGGATCGTATAAATAAGTAGATTTGGCCTAGTTGAATTGTCTTAATAAATAATCTGAGAATGGAGATGTTAGGTCCTTCAGGCTAATTAATATGTCCGAAGGGATGGATGGATGGCGTCCCCGATACCCGATCACCGATACCCGCTCCCCGATACCCGATACTCCCCGGGAAGTCCCAAATAGCGAACTATTATGTAACTACCTGCGTAACTCCACACGGAGTACTCCGTATGTATCAACCATAACCCTAAGTCATTGATCGCCAATTATGGTGGAGAAAAACATCCCCTCTTAGCAGACTCTAACCTGTTCAAAAAAAATTTTATGTACTGTATTGTACTTTGCCCTGGGTATATTACGGGGAACGGAAAATAATATCATACCGACTAACTACGACTTCGTCTCTGCATTGGTAGGTAGGTAGGTAAGTAGGTAGGTATATACACAAGTGCAGAAAGCTTTCCTCTTTTCCTTTTCGCTCTCTTTGATATCTTTTCCTACAATTTTTGGTATGAAAAAGAAAAGAAAAAAAAAAAAACTAGACGGACGGACGGACGGACTGACCGACTAAGTTGCTAACTAACTCAATGGATGATAAATGAATAGAAATACATCTACCATGCCGCAACAACACCCCCCATTCGACATCGAGGATGTCCTCGACAAGGCTACCCTGGAGGAGAAATGTAGCTTGCTTTCAGGTTCGTTTGATGACAGACAGTTCTTCCTTTGTGATATGTTTGTTTAAAGCAAGTATTGCTGTGCGAGTGCCTAATCTGACATGTCTACTAGGACACGACTTCTGGCATACCGCACCCATCCCCCGTCTGCACGTCCCATCGATCCGCATGTCCGACGGCCCCAATGGCGTTCGAGGCACACGCTTCTTCAACGGCGCCCCTGCGGCGTGCCTACCGTGTGGCACGGGACTGGGCGCGACATGGGATGTCGACCTCGTGCGCGAAGCTGGGACGCTCCTCGGGAAGGAGGCTAAAGCGAAAGGGGTGGCTATCTGGTTGGGGCCGACGATCAATATACCAAGTACGTGGAAAAGGATGACCCAGAGAATGAATGGATGAATGAATGAATGCTAAAGAAAACCTGCTAGGATCCCCCCTCGGCGGTCGCGGCTTCGAGTCCTTCGCCGAAGACCCCCATCTCTCCGGCATGCTGGCCGCAGCAGTCATCCGGGGTGCCCAGGACCAGGGCATCATCGCGGTCCCGAAACACTTCGTCTGCAACGACCAGGAGGACCATCGGCGGGGGCTCGAGACCATCGTCACGGATCGCGCGCTGCGTGAGATCTACCTGAAGCCGTTCCAGCTGGCGCTGGCGCATGGAAACCCGCACGCGATCATGACGGCGTACAACAAGGTCAACGGGACGCCGTGCTCGCAGCATCCGGGGCTGTTGCAGGGCATCCTGCGGGGGGAATGGGGGTTTCAAGGAGCGACGATCAGCGACTGGTAAGAAGTCTAAGAAGTCCCCTCCCCTCTCCCCCTTTCTGAAAAGAAGAATTTTTTTCTTTTCTCCCTTTTGGAAACGGTTGACAATAGTATAATGCTAGGTACGGAACGTATTCCACCACCGAGGCCATCACTGCGGGACTCGATCTCGAGATGCCCGGCCCCCCGCAATGGAGAGGCGCTCTTCTCACGGCGGCGCTGTCCGCCAGGGCCGTCCCCATGGACGCAGTCGATCAGCGCGCTCGGCAGATCTTGCAGCTTGTTCAGCAAGCAAACCGGTGTGAGGTGTCCGAGGAGGAAACCTCCCGAGACACCCCCGAGGACCGGGAGCTTCTTCGCCGGCTGGCGTCCGAAAGCATTGTCTTGCTGAAAAACGAGCAGGCGGTGCTTCCATGGCGCGACGTGGACAGCATCGGAGTCATTGGCGTTCACGCCAATATAGCGGCCTACTGTGGAGGTAATCCATCGCAACCACATTCTTTTCTCTTCCTTTGAGACTAACGGACTAACTGTCTAGGCGGCTCTGCGCAGTTGAGCCCGTCCTACGTGGTGACGCCCCTGCAAGGGCTGCGCGCGCACGTCCAGGACATCACGTACTGCCCCGGTCCGTACTGTCACCAGCTGCAACCCCTCCTCGGACCATTCATCAAGAACACCAACGGCAAGCCGGGAGTCACCGTGACCTTCTACAATCAACCCCACACGGCAGACAAGAGAGATGCTCTCGAAGTAGTGGACACGGCAGACTCGTCGTTTCAGCTCCTGGACTACCGGCCCCCCGGCGCCAACGACATCTTCTACGCCACCGTCGAAGGCACCATCACGCCCGAACACACCGCGACATGGGACTTTGGCGTCACGTGCCACGGCACAGCGCTGCTCTACGTCGGCGACACCCTCGTCGTGGACAACGCGACGCGCCAACGGCCCGGCGGGTCGTTCTTTGGCAGCGGCACGGTCGAGGAACGAGGATGGATCGAGCTGCAGGCTGGCGTGACATATCCTATCCGCCTGGAATGGGGCAACGGGCGCACGTCCACTCTCCCCCGGCGGGGAGCGACCACCTTGTCGAACGGCGGCGTCCGGCTGGGAGGCTGTCCTCGTTTGGATCCGGAGCAGGCGATCGAGGAGGCCGTTGCCCTGGCAAGAAGCAAGCAGCACGTCGTGCTCTTTGCGGGATTGAACGTAAGTGCCCTCGACCAGGTGAGGTATTGCGGGCTAACGTCCTTGCAGCAGGAGATCGAGAGCGAAGGGTACGACCGCACATCGATGGACCTCCCAGGCCACACGGACCGCCTGATCAGGGCAGTGCTCGACGCCAACCCCAACGTCATCATCGTCATCCAGTCCGGCACCCCCGTGACGATGCCGTGGGCCGGTCAGGCGCGGGCGATTCTGCAGGCCTGGTATGGCGGCAACGAGCTGGGCAATGCGGTGGCGGACGTCATCTTCGGGCATGTCAACCCCAGCGGGAAATTGCCCATGACGTTCCCCAAGGAACTGCGAGACAATCCCACCTTCTTGAATTTCGGCGCCGACGATGGGAGGGTGCTATACGGAGAAGACATTTTTGTGGGATATCGGTACTACGAGAAGATGGGGAGGGAACCACAGTTCGCGTTCGGGTGAGTAAACTCTGCTCCAGCCAGCGACATTTGCTGAATGATCTCCTAGCCACGGTCTGTCCTACACGACCTTTGCGTTGTCCAACTTGCGAGTCGACCCGTCCGGCGCCCAGGTGGATGTGCAGAACACGGGCGATCGAGATGGCGCCGAGGTGGTCCAGCTATACGTGTCACCTATCCGGCCAGCCACGGTGCGTCCGGTCAAGGAACTGAAAGCCTTTGCCAAGGTGCGTTTGGCCGCCGGAGCAGCAACCTCCGTGCACATGAGCCTGGACCGGCATGCGACCAGCTACTGGAGCGAGACGAAGAACGCGTGGGTCTCGGAGAGAGGCGAGTACGACGTCTTGGTGGGCACATCGAGTGACCGGATTGCCCTGACGGGGAGGATCACGCTGGAGAAAACCGAGATCTGGCGGGGGCTGTAAGAGTAGAGCGTTTGTATAGAAAACAATCAATCCACGTTCTTGGATAGTCGCTCGTAGATGGTCCGGAAGATCCGGCCCAGCTTGCGGAGATCAACGGCTTCCTCGCCCCAGAATTCCGTCGTCACCAGGGCGGTCTCCACACACTGTCGCCAGTCTGGGGGCATCTCGACCTTGCCGCTGTGCGCGGCCGCCAGGAGGGACAGGCCGCAGCGGAAGGCCGCGCGGCCCATGAACCAGCTGCCGTGATGGCGGTGCTGCAGCGTGACGCACCGGGCGTTGTTGTAGGATGCTTCGACACAGCGCTGGGCGAAGTCCTGGATGGCGGGCGGCTGAGGGACTGGGGAATGGATGACGCGGAACAGGAACGGCCGGAACAGGCATTCCTGCACGTAGAAGATGCGACAGTGGAGGAAAAACGGCAGTTCGCAGTCTTCCGGCTGGCCCTCGTCGTATCGCAGCCAGCTGGGCAGATTGGCCAAGGCCAGGACGTGCTGGCGCTCCAGTTCCGACGCCATCCGGACCATGGCCTCGGGGGACGCGTCGAGCCATCGACGGTCGTCTTCCTCGGCGTAGAAGGCGTTCATGATGCGGTCCAGGATGTGCCGCTGGGAGATCTCGGTCAGGTAGTAGTACCAGCTCTCCTCGAGCGGGAATTCCTCCGGTGTCTCGACGGACTCGACGGGGGGCGTGGGGAACTCTTCGGTGAAGCGCAGTTCCGCGATCCTCGACGACGCGAGGTTGATTTCGGTGCGGAGTTCACTAGACACAAGAGTCAGTGCCTCAGCCAGCAGGACGGAGGACGATGGGCCCACCATTCGGATTTCAAACAGGACCAATACACGCGCTGCTCTAGATCCCGGATCTCATCGTTTCCTGGTGCCCTTTTCTGCAGATACAGCTGCATGGCGCTGCATGCGGAGTGGAACGAATGCCATGCGTCCAAGGGGCGGAGCGTGTACATTTCATAGACGCCCGACAGGAAGCGCGCCTGCAGGTACGACAGCGAGGACGGGTCCAGCAGGCCGATGCGTTTGCGGGCTGCCGCATAGTACGCATCGGCCAGGGCACGATCCGCCGTCGGTTCCCGCGGCTGCGACACCGTCGTCCGGCGGAAGGGTTGCGAGAGAATGCCGAGCGCACATGCCAGCAGCTGGGGGGCCTGGTCAGCGAGTCTCCTGACACGATCCGATGAGGACTGCTGCGCACGTACCACGATGCAGGTGGGCGCGTTCCACGAGAGCCCGTGTTCGGCGATGTGGCGGGCATCCCGGGTCAACTGGCGGTGATCGACGACGGGATTTTTGGTGTGGACGTTGGTCAGGAACCGCCGGACGTGGGCGGGGATATCCTCCTCCACGACGCCTTGGGATCGCTCGAGACCCGGTGGCGCAGTCTCCGGCTCCAATGCAAACAACGAGTCCAGGGCGTCCGGATCGAACCCGCAGTCTTGGAGGATGGGCCACTTCAGGACGCGGCACGAGAGATTGCATCGAGCGGGGATCTCCAGCGCGTCTGGCAGGATGTCTGCCGTGGTGTGCTGGTCGGGCAAGGTCGCTGGCTCCGGACGGGCAGCGCGGCCGCTCTCCAGGAGCGCCACGACGTGGTTGATCCGCTCCAGCAGGACCAGGCTGGCGGGGTCGAATCTAGGGCAATCGGTCAGCTCGACGCAGACATCGACGGGGAGGAGATCGCTCACGAGGAATAATCCGTATGAGAGGCCTGATAGACGCACGTCGCGCCAATGCTGGCGCAGAAGCCGCACGTGGGCCGCACGTTGTCGCACTTGGTCTTGCGGCGCCGGCACAGCTGGCAGGCCGACACGGCGCGCTTCCGGGGATACGACATGCCATGAGTGACAGGCCTCTTTGCGCGAGCAGGCGGCTGCAGCGATTCCGAGCCCGTTGCCGACATGGCCAGACTGACGATGGAGCTGATGAAGATGCGAGTGGGAGTCCGGACGGGGAGTGTCGGGGGAAGGGGACTTTAAGTACGGCGGTAGATCATCCGGTTACCCCACAGAATCCCCAACGAAAAGACTCGATCCATGCTTTTCTATAACCAACCCTAACAAAGCTTAGAATCAATATTCCAATGGCAATAACCTATCTGCACGAAAATTAGCCTTTCTGAACCCTACAACAGATGAAGAGTCCCTACTCCCCATGACGAGCAAGGAAATTCAGGATAATTTCTCTTCTGTAGAGATTCCAAGACAAGATTCCGGATATGCTAATACAATCGATAATTTCCTATACAAGATTGGGGGGGGGGGGGGGGTACCAACGGAATCTCTTCGATTTTTCAACCAGCTTCATGCCGATAACAGCACGTGGCGAAATTTCGATACGGGAATTCAACGCTACCTAGAGAGACGCCCGTAAATCCACTGCATACAACAGATCCTCTCGGTGAGAAATGTTATTGGCTTAATTGGCGCAAGTCGGCCATTCCTGCGGGGAAATAGAAACCGAGTGGGGATCTCGATAGGGTCTTGACTTTTGTCCGAAAGGTCAAAGGCAAAAAGATATAGATCGGGTCCGCGATCTGCGCCCACAGTCCTCCGATCTGTGCGCTGCTTGGCTTTGGCCTTCGACGTCGTTGTATCGACCTTACATCAAATTATTCAAATTATTCGTACAGACTTGTACATACATTAATCCCAGATCAGGAGGCCGATCCGACGGCAAAGATTATATGAGACGCCTGATCTCATCGAGTCTGCTATTTGTTGCTGGTCGTCCATGTTCTCGACCTTCCTGTCAGTCCCTCTGCTGGTAAACGAGGGCGACCAAGATGAGTGCAGAGTCTCCAACGCCGCGCATTGTCTGCGTAGGCATCATCGGATGCGGCGAGGTGGCCCAAGTGGTGCACATTCCCACGCTGGGCTTCCTGTCGGACTACTTCCAGATCACCTATCTGTGCGATATCTCCCAGGCCGCCCTGGCGCACTGCAAGAGCAAAGTCGCGGGCGACGTGACGACCACGACCAACCCGGAAGAGCTGTGCGCGTCGCCGACCGTCGATGTCGTCTTGGTGGTCAACAGCGATGAGTACCATGCGGCGCACGCCATCCTGGCCCTCCGCCACGACAAACACGTCTTCATCGAGAAGCCCATGGCCCTGAACGACCGAGACGCCGACGCCATCATCGAGGCCGAACGGGCATCTCGGGGCCGCGTCATGGTCGGCTACATGCGGCGGTATGCATCGGTCTTGCAAGATGCCATTCGCGAAATCGGCGGCATGGACCAGATCCTATATGCTCGCGTGAGAGGTGCGTCTCCTCCGACCAGACAACAAGCAGATCGCTGACGTCTGCCGGTCTAGATATCGTCGGGCCCAACGCGGCCTTTGTCAGTCAATCGGGGACGTTTCCCAAACGGGCCACGGATCTCACTGAGGCCGACCTCCAGGACAGGGATGCCCGGGCAGCAGACATAGTCCACCAAGGGATGGAGAAGGAGGCCGGCGTCAGCCCCTCGGATGTGGTTCCGGCTCGCATCTGGAGGGCCCTGGGCGGGCTGGGATCCCACGATCTGAGCCTAATACGGGAGGTCCTGGGGATGCCCACAGGCGTCGTGGGCGCATGGTTAAAGCCGCCCTTTTGGAGGTACGCAAAACGCGATAGGATGCGCATCCCATCCCATCCTTTGCTGACGACCATGCAGCGCCATTCTCCGATATCCTTCCTTCACCGTCACGTACGAGTCGGGCCTGCACTCGGTGCCGCGCTTCGATGCCCACCTCGAAGTGTACAGTGCTACCAAGATGGTCCGCGTCCAGTATGACACGCCCTACATCAAAGGATTACCGGTGACCATGCATGTGCACGAGAATGTGGACGGGGTCTACAAGGAGAGCATGTTCCGCCGGACGTACGAAGATCCATACACCCTGGAGATGAAGGAGCTCTACGCCATGGTCGTGGACGGCAAGCCCGTCAAGACGACGGCCGAGGACGCAAAGAAAGATCTGGAGATTTTCCGCATGCTGGTGCGAGCGGCAGCATCCAATAGATGAGCGTAGATGAAAGAATTCCACGGTGATCGAGTAGCAGGCCAAGTCATACAGAGAAACGACCTAATTCAGTAGAGTTATTCCCAGTAAACACATTCTCCCCGTCACTCCTTTAGTGCCGGATTCGTCCCGAATAGATATATAAGCAGGGTCGCTGCCCACTCTTCCGATTCTCTTTCTCTCCCTCCTCGCCCTTGTAGGCTTCAGAATCCTTCCGTTCACCACCCGCCATCATTCAGCATGGAGCGACCGACTCTCAGATGGGGCATCATTGGTAAGTTCATCGCCCTGTTACCGGGCCATCTTCTGACATTGGATTGCCAGGCACCGGCCTCATCTCATCCTGGTTTGTCGCGGATCTGCTTCTCCAACGGGACGATGCAAAGGCAACTCACATCATCCAAGCCATCGGTGCGTCGTCGGAGGCAAAGGCAAAGGCATTTGCGCAGAGGCATGCCCCGGGGACCAACGCCTCTGTCTATGGGTCCTACGATGCCGTCTACGCGGATCCCTTGGTGGACATTGTGTACATCGGCACGCCCCATGCCTTTCACAAGGAAGCGTGCCTGAAGGCCGTCGCCCACGGTAAACACGTTCTCTGTGAGAAGCCGTTCACGTTGAACTGTCGCGAGGCCGACGAAGTCTTCGAGGCCGCTCGAACCAAAGGCGTCTTCGTGATGGAAGGTGAGTCTGGCTTTCCTTCTCCCGGTCCTCAGCGACTAACTCGGCTATACAGCTGTCTGGACCCGATTCATGCCCCTGGTCCAGCACCTTCTCGAACTGATCCACCATGAGAAGGTCATCGGTGACGTTCACCGGATCTTCTGCGACTTTGGCCTCCCGATCGACGTTGCGAATCTCCCGGCCACTTCCCGTCTCAAGAACCCGGAGCTGGGCGCCGGATCCCTCCTCGACATCGGGATCTACTCGCTCACATGGGGATTACTTGTCCTGGACGACCGCATCGCGGGCGAGGCTTCGACCCCACAGGTCTTTTCGGCCCAGAGCATCAGCGACGACATCGACATCGCAACGGCCGTCATCCTCTACTACCCACAGACCGGACGTCAGGGGATCCTCACCTCGACGCTGCGCGTCAAGACGGAGTCTGTGTTTGCCCGCATTGAGGGATCAGAAGGAACGATCACGATCGAGGGAGTCGCCGCATCGGCGCCCAGCCAGTTCACCGTCATTCCCCGAGATCCTACTGCGCAGCCCAAGGTGTACCGCTTCCCGCACATCGGCAAAGGATTCTTCTACGAAGCCGACGCAGTCGCGCAGGACATCGCCGCGGGGAGGGTGGAGAATGCGGTGATGCCCTGGGGAGAGACGAGGCGGGTGATGGCGCTGATGGATGGCATCCGGAAGAGAGGAGGGGCGCATTTCCCGCAAGATCGGACTGACTGAGTGAAAAAATGTAGTTACCCGCGATAAAGCTCTAGAAAGAATGCTCGAATCCTCTCTGATCTCCGTTACTCCCCGAACAACTTCTCCACATCCCCCTTCGGTCGATCGCCCAATCAGATCGGCAGCCGAGTGCTGCGGAGACGATCATCCAGGACGTTTTCCGGAAAGGCCCTCGGTAAAGATTCTCCATCTGTTCTGCCAGCCCAGCTTCGAGTAATTGAGAAGCCAAACTGTTCTGGATTCTAGTCCCGACATCGATGAGGATGGCGGTTGTGGTGGCTGTTCCACTACCGGATCTGTAAGGGCTGGTCCACGCCGGCAGAACTTCGGGTGATGGACAACTCCTCGTCCCCATTGCCGTTCAAACTAAGTATGGACCGGTCTCATTATTTCCCCGCTAGATGTCCATTGTAGAGAATCCGGGGTTGGTTCTGGACCACTACCCCGGACTTTGCGGATGCGGATACAAAACCCGTCATCAACCCTCCGAGTTGGATGATTGCCCCCTTCCGACAGGTTGCCAGTCGATCGAACGCTCTCAAGATCTGCTCACATCGTCTTTTGTATGTCATGACGAAAGAACGCAAAAACAACGTCGTGGGAGATGACCTTGCTCGGGTAAGTCTTCTTTCACGACCTTCTGAGGGCTGATTCCCAGGCACATACCAAAGATCCCAAAGACTCAGTTTGCTGGCCTCAAGCTGACTCTCGACAGGTTCTCCCAGCGGACCGACGGGCGTGGTGGAAGACGCCGCATCTGTTGAAGCTGAACGGCTTCATCGCGGCTCTGCTGCTGTATTCCAGCACGGTCGGCTATGACACGTCGTTGATGAACGGGCTGCAGTCCCTGACGCAGTGGAAAGTCTTTATGGACCACCCCGAGGGGGCCTGGCTGGGGTTCATCAGCGCCATCCAGTCCTTGGGGGCGATCCTGGGATTGCCGCTCCAAGCATGGGCCGCCAATCGCTACGGACGCAAGCCATGCATCTGGATCGGCTACATCTTCATCACCCTGGGGGTGGGACTGCAAGTGGGTGCGCGCAACCCAGCCATGTTCATTGTGTCTCGTCTGTTCATGGGCCACGCCGGCGCCTGGTTCCAAGCCGCCATGATCCTGATCACCGAGATTGCCTATCCGACGCACCGGTCCAAGCTCTCGGCCATGTACAACTGCCAGTTCTATGTCGGCTCCACGCTGGCGGCGTGGCTCACGTATGGCTGCCGAAACATCAATTCCTCGTGGGCCTGGAGAATCCCGTCATTGTTGCAGATCGGGTTTCCCGTTCTCGCGCTGCCATGCGCTCTCCTCTCCCCCGAGTCCCCCCGTTGGCTCATCAGCCAGGATCGACACCGCGAAGCGAGAGAATTCCTGGTCAAATATCACTCCGGCGGAGACGAGTTCGACCCGCTGGTCACCTTTCAGATGGAGGAGATCGCCAAATCGATTGCCATGGAGCGCGAGGCGCAGAATTCGACTCACTGGATCGATATGCTCAAGACCAAGGGGAACCGTCACCGATTCTTTATCAGCGTCAGCTTGGGCATCTTTGCTCAGTGGAACGGAGTGTAAGTCTCTCGCAGGAATGGATTCTGGGCTGCGTGACTGGTCGACTGACAAACTGAACAGCGGTGTCGTGTCCTACTATCTCACTCTGATCCTCGATACGATCGGAATCACGTCTGTGACGCAGCAAACGCTGATCAACGGCTTCCTCCAAGTGTGGAATCTGATCATGGCCGTGTGTGGATCGATGGCCGTCGACTTTGCTGGGCGTCGGACCCTCTTCTTCCTATCCACAGGCATCATGCTGGTCAGCTATATCATCATCACGGGCCTGTCGGGCAGCTTTGCGACGACTCACCTGAGCAGCGTGGGCACCAGTGTCATCCCCTTCTTGTTCATCTACTACGGCGGTTACGACCTGGCCTTCACCCCCTTGGTAATCGCCTACCCGGCGGAGATCTGGAATTACTCGCTGCGGGCCAAGGGTCTGGCGCTCACCTCCACCTGCACCTTTCTCGCGCTGCTGTTCAACCAGTTTGTGAATCCCATAGCCCTGGCCTCGATCGCATGGAAGTATTATATTCTGTATATCTGCCTGCTCGTAGTGATCTTGTTGACGGTCTGGCTGGCCTATCCGGAGACGCGGGGATACTCTCTGGAGGAGATTGCCGTGGTCTTTGACGGGGAGGATGCGGCCGTGCCGGGTGAAGCCGAAGTCCTTGGGAAAGTGGCGGCGGTGAAGCATGATCTGCTCGCACAACACGTGGAGAATGTGGCGGGAAGAGAGGAAGCAGAAAGAGGGAGAGAAGAAAAATAGCGCAGAGAAGGGACGGGAGAGGAATGATGCAGCGAGGGAAGGACCTGCGGAAAGCGAATCCTTCCCTTCTTGGAAGGAACCTCCCAGGCATCCGGTAGCGCGACGCGAGTTCCTGTTTTGGAAGGCACTCTACGCGGTCTTTTCCTTTCTTTTCGTAGGCACTGTTGTAATCTGCGACATCTACATCCTCAAAGGATTCTCTCTCATAATTAAATATTCAACCCTTACGACTTGTTCTAACTAAATAAATAAATGATGATGATCTGACTGAACTAGAAGTAAATGATAATGATACAAGATGGTGATATGTACAAATCTAGGTGGACAATTATCTATACCCAAATCATGACTCATAGATGGTCGACCAGCTTCCATCTTCTTCCTTGTCTTGGGTTAACTGTTTGCTTGTGTGGGTATGATTGCCTTGGAATATATGCCATAGAAGAAAACAAGAAATAAAATGCTTCCCCCGTTATCTCTTCTCAGACGCTCATCATGAACTCAGTCAGAATTCTGGATTCGGTTCAACCTTGGGTCGCATTGTACGGATAAAAGAGTTGGTCATACAGCTTCATCCTCTGCATCTTTGCGCACCGTTCCCAATTCACTCCGCCGGTCTTCACCTGCGGGTGATCATTCCAATGCTGTTCTGCGGACGTTTGAGCCATTCAGAATTGCATGGCAAATAGTCTCATAACCTACAAGATTTGCTGTATATATGACATGTCAAAATAATCACTATTATACCCTATTCTTGTTAAAATATTACTACATGTTAGCTTTCTAATAGTAGTATATATTACTAGAAGAGGAAGAGAGAGATTATAAGAAAAAAGAATAATTTATTATCTTATACTACCCTATAAAAAGATATCCCTATTTATAAGATATTACTTAATATTCAATATAACTATGCCAGAATGTAGAATATTAATTACTACTACTCCTTACTTATTAATAGGAACCTTCTTACCTACTATGATATTATGTAGATATTCCAGCTTCCTGCCCTCCAGCTTGTAGTTATATGACTAGCTATCCTATATGATGAATATTAAAGCCTACCTCTAGATCTTCTACTCCTTTAAATAGAATAATTAGGAATAATTCTACCTAATATAATACTTACTCTAAATAATTATAATATAGTAGAGCTACTAAACCTATTAAAAGAACCTGTAAAACGAAGAGCTGTCCAACACAGCAGTGCAGGACCGCAAGGCTGAAGATTAAGGCACACGAGGTCACGGTCCATTGATAAGATAAGAAGGAAAGTCTAACAAGGACTGTGGAAGGAAGGTCCAACAAGGACTGAAGGAAAAAGAGGAATAAAGGACTAAAGCAGGAGTTATAAAAGAGAGCTTAACCTCATGTATCTAGTCTTTTTTATCTTGCGCTCAATGACAACAAGTTACTAAGATACTTACTTGGAGGGTCAGTAAGACATCTTACTACTATTGGTATACCTTGTGGTATAGCTTTAGTAGGCGTTGCCCTGACCTAGTCACTTGTGTTCTCTTTTCATTGAAAGACCCCGAATTGCTACCATTATTATTTGTGCCATCCACCACCTTGAGACTACTCGCCCGTGTGAGATCCTGGATTGGATCTGTGAACCTTCCCTAACCTCCAACGTTAAGTATCTGTGACTTAGGTCAGCCCAGCGTGTAACAGAACCTTATTGTGACGATTCAACTTGCCTGTCGTCACGTGAGCGGTGAGAAAAGCGGTGAGGTATAGGTACGGCAGAATACTTGCATAAATCGCCTCGCTAGCGACCTGGCTCCCTTCCTTCTTCTCCTCTCCTCCCAGCCTAGTCTCTTGTAATTTAGATCGCTCCTAGTGATAAGAAACTGCTCTATTGCCTGGAATTGGATCCGTCACATTAGACTAGGCTCAACCCACTCATTTCTTACCATTTCTACTGCTTCTAGATACGGTCTGACGCGTCTACTACAACAGTCGACGCAGACCTCTTGAAGCTGCCAACTGCGTGCCAGCGACGTGGTGATCAACTGCTGGAAGAT